TGTGTGTGTGTGTGTGTGTGTGTGTGTGTGTGTGTGTGTATTACACTGTTGTGTGCATGTGGCTGCCTTCATCTTTTGCATGATTCTCAGTTTTTCCTCCCTCTCTCATTATTGGTTTCTTCGCGTAGGTGTCGCACACACACCTGCTTTGGTTTGTGTGTGTGTGTGTGTGTGTGTGTGTGTTTGTTCGAGGGTCCTTCAGGAGGATCATGAGATCATCGGTGCATCACGGTGAGCTGGATGCTCAGATCCTTCTCAGATGTTGCAACTCTCGGCCTACTCGTGTTGTATTCCTGTATTTGAGCATCTATTCCATTATAAGCACGGGTGGTCACGTGTTTTGTGATCCAGGTGCTGTGGATGAGGATTATTATCACTGAGACAGAGTTTGTCTTGTCATAGCTTTGAAATTAGAGTGGACGTCGCCTAAATTCTCAGGCGGTGTTAAAATGTGCTGCTTCAGAAAGCAATGAATAGGATTCAGATGCTGTCTGATCATCCACCATCCTTTTTGTTCGAGGCGTATACCAACCCTTTAAAGCACATCGATTCACCTAGCATGCCCATATCAGAAATACTATGCATATTAAATATTATGCATCCCAGGATAAAGTGAATGTAAGGTCGTATGTAAATGCGAGCACATCTGTCTGTTCAGTGCAAACAGAAAACGGTGGCATCTGCTGTGAGCATCTAAATCAGAGGATGTCGGCAGCAGAGCTAATCAAGTAAAGTTTGTCCTGTTGGTGGCACCGAAATGGAAACGCCCCCAGGTAATTTAAAATCAAAATGATTCATCCTGTCAGGAACTTAAATAAGCTCAGTGAATGTCTCATATATCTTCTCGTCAAAGCTGATGTCTTTGCCTGTAGGTGGCACCAGAGAGAAGGTGGGGGACAGGTCAGGCGAAAGGTCAAAGGTTTTAAAAAAAAAAAGCTGTAAATGCTCTCAGTAGGTTTTTTTTTTTAAATAGTCTTAATGCCCCAAGTTGTAGAAGAAAGGAAAGAAGTGCAGTAAAATATGGAGACACCCGTACATCTTCCACAATAATACACTAGTACAGAAGGATGAGAGAGAGAGAGAGAGAGAGAGAGAGAGAGAGAGAGAGAGAGAGATGCCCCTAATCCTCAGGAGTGATGCCCCAGTTAGTTATGTGGTTATTGTGTGTTTATCTTTGTGTGATTCACTAATGTTCTATTCACTCTCATGCAGTACACACACACACACACACACACACACACACACACACACACACACACACACAGACTCATATTGACACTCACCGTACACTGTCCCTCCCTGTGGCGATTACTCCACAGATCAAGCAGGAGTCAGCAGCTGTCTGCTCCTTTCTTCTCACTTACACCATGCTCACACACACACACACACACACACACACACACACACACACACACACACACACACACACACACACTCTCATTGTCACAAGTAACTTTTAAGGACATTACACGCACACACACACATGCACACATGTTTCCGTGCCTCACATGTCGTCTGCACTTGTCCAGAAACAGACATCTGAGGATTTCAGCAGCTACTGTGTCAGACTGAAGCTCCTTCTACGTGTTCAGGCTTTTCACAGAAACGTTTGACGTCTCTTAGTCTTACAAATACATTTTCTTTCATTCCGATTGGTCTAAACTAGCTACACGATGACAGTATGTTGTCATGAAGTTGCGTGTGTGACATTGTGATGATGTGACATTGGGAGTCTGAACTAAGTCTGCCTGCTGCTCCACATTCATTATTAATTAACACCCCATTAAAAAAAACTGTCTGCTTGCAGAGAGCAGAGGAGTGAGGGTGTGGCTTTGTGTATGTCTGTGTGTGTTTGCTTGTGTCTGTGTATGAGAACCCTAACGTGTGCCTATCCATTTGTGTGTGTGCGTGTGTGTGCGTTGCTGAAGCAGCTGGTGGGGCAAGTGTGAAATGCTGCCTGGTGTGTGTCTGTGTGTATTTTTCTGTGGGTGTTTGTCATGCCCACCATGACACAGCAGAAAGGGAACTCACACTCACTCCGTCAACCTACACTGAAACAGCCGGGTGGTCTTTAGCATTATTCAGGACCAGCAGCCGCTGCAGACAACTGACGTTTCTCCAAGTAATAAAATCTTCGCCACCTTTGATTTAACGTTTCTGTCCACGTGAAGCCGTCTTGTGTTTTAGTGTGAGAGGGAAATGCATATATCTTTTCAAATTGCCTTTTCTGCAGACAGATGTTTGCTGTGTAATCGTAATCTCGAGGCTTCGACGTACCGAGACGACCGCAAGACCTGACGTGGACCAATAGCGGCACCTTCTTACGTCGCCCCCAATGTAGCCTCATGACTCCTCAGATGTCTTCATGTCACATCACAGCTCCTCACAGCACCTCAGTGTGCTTCACATCTCCTCCGTCACCTTGTGTTTCATCACATTCTGTCAAATCGCTTCAAGCCGATTCACATCAACTGTGATGTTTCTAATGACTGACTGAGAGGAGCCACCTGTCTGATGCTTATGATGCTGAGTTTCTGTTGTTCTGATATTTTAGTGTAACTAACGTTGAGGACGTGAGTTTGAAATTCAGTCACACATCTTGTAAAACAACTGCTTGCTTCATATTTTAATTGGATGTCCATTCCATCATGAGTGTGAGTATAACAGAGAGTTATTGACAGATGACCTACAACGGCAGTGTGATTTTTATTTTCCCTCCCTGCCAGCAGCTGGGGGGCTTTACTGTGTGTTCGTGAGTATTAAAGGTGTCACTGTACAGAATGTAAATTATATAAGTTGACTTTAATTTCCTTTGGCTTTACAGTCCTCACAGACACACAAAGCCTGCAGTGTCCAGTGCAGCGGCCTGTTTAGTCAGCGTTCCCATTCCCCCCCCACACACACACACACACTGTCAGTCAGCTGCGTGGGGTTTGGACAAAACAGACTGGAAAATAGTGACAGCAGCAGTTTCAGTCTTTAAATATCAGTTTGCAGATGCCAAAGATTTAAGTAGACACCGCTCAGTTTCTGTGAAGTGGATCATTTATTTGTTTCCTTAATTCTGCACAAGATGCTCAGGAAAAAAAGTGCACTACTCATTTGAATAGAACTGTATTTGGCAGCAGAGCTCAGTCCGTCCTGACTCCACTGTTTCCAGAAGATAAGCAAACTCTCACATTGGACAAGCTGTCACCGCTGTCTCATCCCGACTGAGTTGGTAGTTTCATTACACCGACTGGCCTGATGGGGGCACTACAGCGATCGGTATTTGTTTATTTAAAGTGACAAACATTAACATTTACGTTTGTGTTGCAATATTTCTTTGCAAATCGGTCCTGAACTTTTAGTATGCCTCACCATGCTATGACATACATGCAGTCGTGTGTGTGTGTGTGTGTGTGTGTGTGTGTGTTTGTGTGCGTGTGAGTCCGTAGCCCCTTTTTTTCCAGTGAAAGCACTCCAGTTCCCATCTCCTGGGAAACCACTCTTTTATCATGGCTGCCAGGCCTTTAGGGCAACGCTTTCCATACCGCMCCCCCCCCCCACCACCACAACTGCCATGTTTACCACAATCACTTTACCATTCATGTCTGCACAACCCTCTTCTTGTTGCTCCTCTTCTATCAGTCTATCAGTTTTGCTCTTTCTATTTTCATCCCTTCGTTTCTCCTCAATTTTCTCCGAGCTCAACTGGAGTCTGACCTGATCACAAAAAAATGTCCGTTTGATACAGAAGCGCCAGTGTGAGTTGAGTTCTGGGTTCAATATGAGTCGGACCATCGATCCACCAGGCATACATGCAAGATATCGGTTCTACAATATGTTTGAGTGACTTTAAAAGTAAATTGACAAACGGGGAAACACAAATCCAGTTGAAGCCATTTTGTTCTCATCCAGTTGAGGTACACATTTTCCCCTCCTCTCCTCTCCTTCCTCTCTCCATTCTCCTCCATCTTTATGAGTTGATTCTGCGTGACTGGGAAACCATTGTGCTCTGCCCCTGAAACACATTGCATACAGCCATCCATGCAGAACACACACACACATACACACAGAGGAATGTTTGTGGAAGCTCCTCTCAGTTTGTTGAGTCTCATCAGACTTAATCAAGCTGTGTCTTCAATAATGAGCTGAAAGTGTGAGACCTCGACCAGGTTGAATCCACGAACCGATATACAATCTGTTCAAACATCATCATTGTAAATGCTTTTATTTTTCATACCTTCTCGTTCTTCTTGTAGGACTATGGCTGCCAACATGCGAATCCTCATCAAGGGAGGGAAGGTGGTGAACGATGATTTCACCCATGAAGCAGACGTCTACATTGAGAATGGCATCATCCAGCAGGTAACACATACTAACTAATGTTACTGTCACCTTTATTTCACCTCAGGCACACACAAAGGTATGTATGCATGCACTTTGACTGACACATTTACTCCCCATGCATCCCCAGCTGTTACTGTGGACTCATTTCACAATAAAACAGTATGAGGAGAATGAAGGACTCGCTGAACTGTGGCTCCATGCAATGACAGCAGACGCTATAATTAGCTCACAGACTGCTGTCATGGAACCCGTTTGTGTGAAGAGGATGCATTTTAATCAGAAAAACCTCAAAGCTCTTTTGTAGTTCTGCTGAAACATGCCACTATTTATATCACCAGAACAGTATTGATGTCAGAAGGTGCTCAAGTCTGTGAAAAAGGTTTGTCTTTATCATTTTAGGGACATTTACTTCATTTCAGCTTTACTGAAGTATCTGTTACAGACAAGTTGTTTGCTCTGATTTACCAGTATTATATTTTTTAAGTAAAACGTATATTCTGCTTTTCACTACAAACCACATTCACACACACATTCTTCCAGAAGCACAACATGCTACTTCTTTCTATCACACACTTGTCATGCACAGACATCAGGCGCAATTTGGGTTCAGTATCTTGCCCAAGGACACTCAAGCGTTTGGGCTGAATGAGCCGGGGATCAAACCACAACTTTCTGATTAGTGGATGACCCGCTTACTTCTCAGGGATTATTGGGGGGGCTGCGGCTGTTTTACGGGATTATGTCGATTATTAAAACAAATAGTGGAGGTAAATGCTAAAAAGGTTACAGGGGCACATCTCTTCCAGCTCCATCACAGTCCTGTTCAAATGCTCAGATGCAAGGCGGAGGCGACTGTACAATGTGTCATACAGTTGTGTAAGTTGATCGTTGGTGTTTTCTCCGGCAGGTTGGAAAGGAACTGATGATACCAGGCGGGGCCAAGGTGATCGACGCCTCCGGAAAGCTGGTGCTGCCGGGCGGAATAGACACCAGCGTGCATCTGCAGCAAACCTTCATGAACGCCGGCATCCAGGACGACTTCTACAGTGGGACCAAGGTACACACACACACAAACACACACACACAAACACACGCCTGTGTTATGACTACAGTAGGTTTGTAAGCAGACAATGACCTATGATTAAAGACATTTAGACTCCAGGGACAGCTGTAATACAAAGCCATACTTTCTTTCTCTGTCTCGTCTGTAGTTAAATATTCACCCCCCCCCCCTTTCAGCTTCATCATCACGACCGATGACCACACATGTTCTCTCGCTGCTCCTATATGATGCAAACCCAAGCAGCTGTTTGTAGATGAAAGCAAAGACACACTCAGCTGTTCAGTTTTCATTAGTTCATTTCCTACGGATGCTCTCCATATTTTCCAGTGATCACCCCGAGACTCAGAGCAGAGAGGATGATTTAATAATGAGGGGATTTAAAAATTCAAAAGAGGGAGCGTATTAATTGTTGCCCGCAGCATCAGCATGTTCTGGAAGATGTTGTGGGACGCTATTGCTGTTGTTGTCTGGTATAGTTTTCGAGGCTGTAGTCACAGGCTTTGCAGTGGATGTAGGAAGGCGTGGCACAAGGAGAGAGCTACTATAAAGCTATTATTTTGTCCTAAATTAAACTTCGGGGCTGTATTACTGGAAGAGCATAAATATAATGTGATTTTTTTTTTTATAAACATATAACTTTTACACTTATGTCCAGCATCCACACTACTTCTGAGTTTGGATAAGTCCAGAAACACTGCTGACTTTTAGTTTGGAAACTCCGAGGCTGCATGGTAGACGGGCAAAAAAGATGATGTTTGGAAATAAACTTCCTGAGCCGACGCACATGTCCTGTGTATGTGAATGGTAACGTGATATGCATTTTCAGGTGTGTTAGTATGGAAGGAGATTAATATTGATAAAGAGCTAAAGTGCTCATGCACTTAAAACGAAAGTGTGTTAGTCAGATGCAGTCTAAGAAGTTCATCTGATCATCTGTAGATCTAAAGCCCCTCTTGTATCTTTCTTTTTCAAAACACCACCAGTGTGTTTTTTAAGATTTTAATGGTGAATGATATCAAGTGCTGGGACTTTGCAGCGCTGAGTCTCAGTGAAAGGAGGCTGGAGTCTAATGGAATGTCAGATGAAGTGTGGTGAGAGGAATTTGGGGCAGATTGAATCCTCCGTATGCCAGCTTTACCCCGGCAACCCCCATTTACCAACCCCTACCCACTAACCTCGCTGCCTAGGCAACTAACCCCCCACTCTGTGTCAGTGGAATCAGAGGGAGCAAATGCGTGCGTGCGTGGATGCACGCGTATATGTATGACCATGGTAGCATTGTCTGGTCCCTATGGTGCCTGAGTTACCACGGCAACAGCTCATGTGCAATTGTGATGAACCCCAAAACTATTTTCCCTCCCTCCCATCGTTTTGTAACAGTCTGCTCCATCTCCTGCTCTCCCTCCTTCCTTCCTTCCTTCCTTCCTCCTCTCTTTCTCGCTCCCTGCTGTTTCCTGCGCTTTATCCCCTTCGGTTTCACCCCATGCTCCCCCCACCCCCCAGGAAAGACTCACACTGATCTACAGACCTTTTTATACATGCATTTTTTCATCTTGTGTTAAGGTTTTGTGTCCAGATATTGAGCTGTGTTATAGTTACACTTAACCTTAAAAGATAAATTCAGTGCCAGCTGCACGTTAAAAGTCTGTAAATTCTTATTTATACAAATAAAACATTCACTTTTTAACAAAACCTATAAGTGTATTGTTTGGAGAAGAGTCTTTACTAACACCAGATTCTCTTAGATATGTCAGATCCTGAAAACCCTCTACTGTATTTAGAGTTTGTTGTTGCAGAATCAAAATTCATATTTCAGCTTCAAAACCTGATAACCCTTTTTAATACGATTCTTGTACAATCGATTTTTTCGCTTGTCTGATTCAAATTGTCCGATATGAGCGTTTCACAGATATATAAGTATCGTGTTTATGATCTAAACATTTGTTATATGAAAACTTTTATTTTACAGAATGAACAGTGAGATATCCATCATATTAAAATGTGAGAGCGACTTCGCCGGACCACATCATTTCATAACGTTGTCCTTATCGTTGCAGTGTGTGTCGCGGCAGACGCTGCAGACATCTTGTGTAAAGTGAAGCATGAGCATTTCTGACAGAGGCTGATCACAGAGCTGCTGTGGTAATCTGTCTGACACTGATAGCCTCTCCCCCCGACTCCAACATACAGAGATTCTCTCATCCTCTCAGATCAGTCATGTCTCAGTCACTCTCTCTCCCTGCCTCCCCCTGTCTCCCCCTCTCTCATGCATACACAATCAGAGCAGCATTTTATATGGAACGTTTTAAAGTGAGTTTATAAAATCATACATTTCACTGCATACTCAGAAACCATATTCTGTCATTAATACAGGGATTTGTGTGCTTGCTTGTTATTTTTTTACTCCCTCACACTGTCACTGTCTCTCTTCCATTACTCTCCCTCTGTTTTACTTTCTTGTCTGGGGATTATCTTCACAGTAGGGGTTGGGGGGTCTTTAATAGAAAGCCGCAGTCATGTTAAAACATTGTCGGGAGGTTTATGTGTCACCATCTACTTTAGGTCTGCCGTCAGTGATCGGTGATATGTTGGAGGAACCAGAGGAAGGACAGCTTTTAAATTAATTTTGTTGATTTGGACATCTTGTCTAGTATGAGAAATAAATTCTGTGGGTGTGAACAAAATTAACTTTTTTTCAAGTCTACTAACTGCACGGTGGAAAACTGTTTTTCAAATACTTATGTCAGACCTGGTTATTCTTGTTTCTACACTGAGTTTGCTGATGGTTTCATTCTGCTCACCCAGACGTCCTTATCAGTTCTATCATTTAAAAGTCTAAAATTGGATGTTTATCCAGTGACTGTCATTGCAATGAAAGAGAGCAGGAGTAAAGAGATTTCAACCAGCAGACAGCTTCTCCTTGTTCCTCTCCACGCTGAAAATGCATCCCACTCAGATGATAACAGAGAGATAGTAATAACACATTCCTTTCTCTCTTTCTCCTTTTCCACTCAAACAATCCCTCTGTTTGAAGGCAGTACATTTCAATTTAGGTTTTCAAGACAAGCATTTTCAATCCCACAATCCCCCTGCTGTGGGTCCATGTTGCCTGATTCTCCGTCTCACACACACCCTGACAGTGATCAATGGACATTACATATGCAGAGGCCTTGGATGCTGACGCTGCAGATGATTCTGACTGGTTACTATGGTTATATACGAAACATAATAGCTTGATGTTGGCCACTGTAGCTGTCACTCAAACACAGACGGCTCCGCTGTTCACTTCCTGTCTCACACATGATTGTTGCCTGTTTTCCCATCAGTCCCTGTTAGACTCTAGTGTGATGTATTGAATGGGTGACTGTCTCAGTGCACGGTGTCAGGAGGAGGAGGTGGTGGAGGGCGCGGACGCGGCAGACATGGCTGAGCAGTTATCTGTTGTCATGGTGACATAAAGTGCATTTACCATTCAGCTGACTGAAACGAGTCACTGCAGACAACTCCCTTCTCTTCATTCGTTCTCCAGCCTGTCCCCTCCTTCTCATTTTTCTCCTTCTCTATGTTTATCCTTTCTTCATCAGTCAGTGCCTTCTCCTCCTCCTCGTCACTATTTTCCCACAGTTTGCTGCTGTGTTGGAGAGGCAGCTATACAGCAGATATCACGTTCATGGTTTCATCAGTAATCACTATTACTTTTAATATTACTTTCAGACAACTTCCGACAAATTTCCATTTCTATCATTTATTTAATTGCCACAAGAACCGAGAGAAGTTCCCTTCGACGGATTATTACAGTCAAACAATATGTTGATGTGCAGAATATCATACGTGAAGAGAAATGTGGTCCGTCCATCAGTTTGTTTAAATAGTAAATACGAGGCTGGATGATGATGATGATGATGATGATGATGATGATGATGATGATGATGATGATGATGATGAACAGTTCATAGCTCACAACAGTCTTTGTTCTTTACACTAGAATCATTGTTTTCCTTTCTCATCAATCTCAGTTTTTTTTCTCCCTCTGCCTTCCATTGTCTCTCTACCTCCATCCCTCCCTCTCTCTTCCTTTCCCTTCCTTCCTCCCTAACTCACCCCTTCTCTCCCTCTCACCTCACCCAGGCGGCTCTGATGGGTGGTACCACCATGGTGATGGGTCTGGTCCTGCCTGAACAACACTGCTCCCTGTTGGACGCCTACGAGAAGTGCAGAGCCCTGGCCGATGCCAAGGCGTGCTGCGACTACGCTCTGCACGTCGGTGTGACCTGGTGGGGACCAAAGGTGAGATGCACAGAGGTTTCAACCAATGATCGTCCTGGAAACACTTCTCTTTTTCAACGGATGTCGTCCTTCACTCCTTCGTTCCTTAGTCTTTTATTTTTACGAAGCTGCCAAACCACCTTCATTTCTGGGTGAAATGTGTAATGACCTAGATTAAACCTCACATGAAGTAGGTTAACACACATGCTCAGTGGGCACATTAGACACATTCTATGACTCAACGAGCCAACAGCCTTTGGCTCTGTGTCGGTAAGATATCATCTGCTGACTCTGAGAGTGTGCCGCATCTCACTGTCTACAGTCAAATGGTTTCTGACTCGTTTCACCTTTTAAATCACGCGCTCACGTTATATTATTCCATGGCTGACATCAATATACTTCATTTCTT